AGCCCTCTGGGAGGCTGAGGCCAGCACATCACCTGAGGTCAGTAGTTCAAGACCAGCCTGGCCAACAACATGACAAAACCCTGTCTCTACTAAAAATACAAAAAATTAGGCAACTGTGGTGGCGGGTGCCTACAGTCCCAGCTACTGGGTAGGCTGAGGGAGGAGAATCGCTTGAACCAGGGAGGCAGAGGTTTCAGTGAGCTGAGATCGTGCCACTGCACTCCAGCCTTAGAAACAGAGTGAGACTCACTTTCTGGTCCCGGTCGCAGAAGCAGGATGACGAAGGGAACGTCATCGTTGGGGAAGCGTCGTAATAAGATGCACACGTTGTGCCGCCGCTATGGCTCTAAGGCCTACCACCTTCAGAAGTTGACCTGCAGCAAATGTGGCTACCCCGCCAAGCGCAAGAGAAAGTATAACTGGAGTGCCAAGGCTAAAAGACGAAATACCACCAGGACTGGTCGAATGAGGCACCTAAAAATTGTATACCGCAGATTCAGGCATGGATTCCGTGAAGGAACAACACCTAAACCCAAGAGGGCAGCTGTTGTGGCATCCAGTTCATCTTAAGAATTTCACGGATTAGTAACGCAATAAATGTTCTGGTTTTAAAAATAAAAAATAAAAAATAAAAATTAAAAAAAGAAACAGAGTGAGACTCTATCTCAAAAACAAACCAAAAACAGAGTGTCTCTTATTACTAACTAATTTTTTTCTTTTGAGACAGAATTTCACTCTTGTTGCCCAGGCTAGAGTGCAATGGTGCGATCTTGGCTCACTGCAACCCCCACCTCCTGGGTTCAAGCGATTCTCCTGTCTCAGCCTCCCGAGTGGCTGGGATTACAGGCACCCGCCACCATGCCTGGCTAATTTTTTATTTTTATTAGAGGTGGGTTTCACCATGTTGGCCAGGCTAGTCCTGAACTCCCGACCTCAGGCGATCCACCCACTCCAGCCTCCCAAAGTGCTAGGATTCCAGGCGTGAGCCACCCTACCTGGCCAAGAATTTAACTCTTAAGTAACACAATTTCCCACAAGAAAACCCCAGTTCTAAGTGGCTTGACTAGTGAATTCTATCAAACATTTAAAGGAAGAAATGATGCCAATTCTAGAAAAAGACTTTCAGAAGAGATAAAACATTTCCCAACTCATTTTCTGGATTGGCATTACCCTGATACCAAACTAAAGGCAAAGTCATTATGTAAGTAAGTTATTAAAAATGGCTGGGGAGGAAGATACTCTCTCATTAATAGGTTTTCCTTCCACTCTCTCNGTGAAAAACATCTAACATGTTAGGTCCTTTCTCTTTCTTCAAAAGAAGAGAATAGTCTATTGACTGTAATATTTTCTTGATGTCTCAGGGCCATCATTATCGCACTGTTACTATATCGGTCCTGTGAGAAACAATGGTAGTTTTTCCTTTCCTTCTCCCTCTTCTAATTCTTGCCATCCTTCTCTGCTGAAAATCAACACTAATGTTAAGGCAGTGTAATGGTAAGATGCTGGAGGAGGTACTACAATGGCTTCCCTCTATCATGCCTTTCCCCTCTAGTCTGGAAAACAGTAGCTAACACCACAAGATAAAGAAAGAAGGCTGGACTTGAACTGGACTCAAGCAATCCACCTCAGCCTGCCTAGTAGCTGGGATCACAGGCACACACCATCACAACCAGCTTTTTCCATGCTTTTTTTCTTTTAGTTCAAATTCTCTTTAATAACTGTCCAATAATTTCAATTTAAATACATGTTCTTAAAGAAGCACAGATACTAAAGTTTCATTTACTACTTTTTTTAGTCTTGACAAATTAAACAGAATTCATCTACTACTATTAAGAATTTACCTCTGCTTCTCTTTTCTTTGCCCGTGCTTTCTCCACTTCATCCATTACTTTCTGGGATTCCTCCACATTCCCTTCAGCTCCTAGTTGTTCCACCTTGGCTAACAATTTACCAATTTCTTCATTTAACTCATGAACACGTTCTGCCTAAAAAGAAATAAAAAAGAAGATCATGAATAAACAAGAGAATGAATTTTTAACTTCAAAGTATTTCAGAACTGCTGAGAAAAAACTTGTTATCTGAAGCCATATGAGTTTAAAAAATGCTCCTTGTGCATATCCCAAATGAACTAGTGAGACAACAGGATGTTCTGAGCCTGCCTGCCTTACCTCAATAAAGTCAGTGCTACTACTGGTCCCAATATCACTTTCTGCCCTCCGGTTAGGTAGTGTATTCCTAGTGTAAAATACCTTTTCTTCCATGATCTGGCCCTTTGTACTTTTCTAAATCATCTCTTGCTACACCCCCACCTTACAACATAATCTGTAATTTCCTAAACTTACCCTATTGTTTTGCAACTCTGTGACTTTACATATACTCTTCTTTCTGGGATGGCAACGCTCACCTCTCCTAGCTTCCTAGTGAATGTTCACTCATTCAACAAGATCCAACTCAAGGGCCATTTCTGTAAAGCATTCCTGAACATTCACCACATCCCAGCCCCACCTAAACACATAAGCAAAGATGGCCCTACCTTCTCCTTTGTGTCACTTTTGTATCTTTTTTGACAATTCCTTTCATAAATATACTACTTTAAGGACAGCTATCTGTATTTCTCCTCTTTTTTTTTTTTTTTTTTTTTTGGGACGGAGTTTCGCT